CCCCAAAACCCCAAAACCCCAAAACCCCATAATTATAAATTTTATGAATTTCAAGTTGATTTGAAGGATTATTAATATATTTTAAATGAAAAGCAAGCGAAATTATGTTCAGAGGAACATGAGTACCGAGCAAATGCTGGATAAGATAGACTAGCAGCATAGATAAAAAGACCCCAAAGAAGAGGAAAGAGCTGTAAGAAAGCATAATTAGTCATATTATAGTTCAAAAAATCTGAGGGACTCGTGCCCACTCTGTCAGTTTTGTATGGCTTAGATGTAAGATTCCGATTCGCAGAGAAAGAGAGATAAGAAGAAGTAACCAGTATTCATAATAATCTAGTTGACTTTGTATTAGGAAGGAAGTAGTTTGTAAATATTAAACAAAAGAAAAATTCAGACAGTGAAAGGTCTTTTTCTCTGAATAGACATAGTGTTCCATCATACATGATCTAAAATTAGCCTCAGCAATAGTCAAGAAATTTTAATTAAGTCTTAGAGAAATTTGAATCACCAAGAAACTATTATACTGTATTTTAACTTGACTCTCTTATAATTTTGACTAGAACCAGCAGTCATACTTTGAAAATAACAATCAGTCTACTCAGATAGGGAGTTTGAGTTCAAACCGAGTCATTAGAAATTAATCTCAGCTCTCAGAATATAATTCCCCTTACAAGTTGAAAAATATACAGCCAAACTTATCTATAAGTGGGGAATATAATGCTTACTCATCGAGACAAACAGGAAATCAATAACAAAATCAAAAGCCCTATGGGAATATGCTACCTTTGTAGAATTAACAGAGAAGCTTATCAACGTAGAGGCAAACTGCTTTAGAGAACTCACCTGCTAAAGTAGAAGTAGCAAGACGGCACAATTAATCTCTGATTCAAGACATCTCTTAAAGTTCTATCATGATTCAGAGCTAGATTGACATGGATCATAACTAGTCATGCTTTGTGGATCACGAGTTAAAAGAACTGACTTTTAAGCCTAAAATCAATAATGACTAGGGTAAAAGAATAGTTGGTATCTTTAACATGAACGAGTAAAAACTGAGACAGGTTATTAAGAAAATGTCGTCAGAGGACTAATACGAGAACCAGTTTTAGGCTGATGAAATCAATCTTAAAAGAGCTGAGTTTTTTGCCAAGACTATTCTGAATGCCAAGAAGGTGGCTGAGTATAACTTTGATGAGGACCTGCAGAAGTATAAGATAAACAAAGACAAGACCTCTTAACTGTTTAAAATGATGCAGTTGAGAGGCAAGAAGTAAAATATAGAAGACTCCAGACGAGAGTAACTGCTATAAATGAATTAGATACCTAAAGGCAAAATTCTTGAGAAAAATGAACAGCTAGTTAGAGTGCTTTAAGATACATCTCAAAGCTTTAGTCGGCTGATTAATGAGTCTATCACTGAAGAAACCAACAAGATGGCTGAGTATCTTCATGAGGCTGAAGATGATCTCAATATAGAAAACCTAGGCATAGGTAATGGATCTTAGGCACCTCATACTACTAGCTAGTAAAGATTGAAGTCGGATATTGAGCTCTTCACCAACGCTTTCAGAGAGGTCAAGAATCCAAGACAACTTCCTAAAATCAATTTTAAAACAGCTTCAAGAGGGACTAATAGAAATAACAAAAGTTTTGTCGGTGGTGGAAGAAGACCTGTATTGAGAATAGAGAAAATTGAGTAAAATCAGTCTGATATCATTCACAATAAAACATTTGAAGCTTAGTCAGTCATGCATAATTAATCAATAATATCTTAAGCTGATTAAGATGGAAACAACACTTAGTCATAAAGATGAGGCTCTATATATAAATATGGTAATTTCTAAAAATATCTAATCATTTACAGAAGCCCCTAACTTGCAGAATTTAATATTGGATGAAGTGTCTAAGGCAAAACTAGCAGTACTAGTGAAATAAGAGTCAGAGAGACTAAAACTTGAAACTGAGATGAAATTCAGTGGGTTTGAAAATATCCCGATTGGCATTCACAACGAAGCTGAAAAGCAAATGAGAAACGAGTCTATGAAAAGATTCCAGTACTTAAGAGAGTAAGAATTATCTTAAGAATTATTGTTATATAGCCGCAAGATACAAATGAAAGAATTCATAAGAGTTAAAAAGTAGTAGCTATTACTAGAATAAGCTTAAAGGTTAGAGCAGTAAAGAATAAATCCACAGCCTGTAGATAAGAGGAAGGAACTTATAAACAGTATCAATGATATTTGCACTAAAGCTGGACAGAAGAAGTTCGGCATGCTTAACTATACACTGCTTAAATAAGATGTAGAAAATGGTGATGTTGGGTTTGATGTTTCTCATGTCATCAATCATGTTCAACAGTCTACCAGGAAAAGTAAAAGAAGAATCAATCAAATTGAAGAGGATATGCTATCATTGCTTGGTCAGGATAATTTTAAGAAAAAACTCTAATGAGGTCAAATCCCTATGACGACCCTAGTTTTATTATTTAATTTTGATTTTATAACTATGCAAACGAGGATGAGATATTCTTCTGATGGGGTTTTGGGGTTTTGGGGTTTTGGGG